TCCCTGGCTGTGGTTGGCAGCAGTTGGAGCCAATGGCTCCTGCTTCTGTCTCAGCCAGGGAGAAGAGGGAGTCCCAGGATAGCCAAGACTCCAGTGCACATTGCTGGATCGAGAGGGGGCTTAGGTGAGTTTTAGGGGGGGCTGATGCACACAGAAGGTTGTTTACCTTCATACATAGAATGTGTGAAGGTAAAAAACCTTGAGCCTTTAGAACCACTTTAATATGATCAGATAGTGACCAGATGATAAATTGACACAATAAACATTTGCATTTGGCTTTCATAATTAGTAATATATTACTTTTAATATATTATATTCATTTTCTGTGGAAAAATTTGTGTAACCATAATTTAACTACACTGCAAATATTAATTGAAGATTGATGAGAGTTGAAGGCCATTGTATGTTGAACTCCTGATATAGATTTTATGTACCCTCAACTTATAGTACACTTGGCTTGTGATTCAGTCTAAGAAAACTTCAAGTGCAGTTGAGGGCCTGTATATATACAGTAAGTGAATAATTGTTTCTTAAAGTGTATTTACAGCCATTTTTGTGTTTTGAATAGAGTAAGGAAGGGTTAAAACTTCTGTCTGTTTATTTTTATCTTGTCTGTGTACCATTGAAGATTTTTCCATTACTTTCTGTCTTGAAGACCTAAGAAGAAACAAGAAGAGATCACCACAACGTCAAAAGAAATCTACTCCTAAACAGTTGTTACCAGAGCATGTGTCCCCATTGGAATACTAACCCTCACTGCTTGTTCTGGTGGCAGCTCTAAAAGTTTGAATTTCTAATCACTTTCTGCCTCAGTTAGAATAGTAACCAGGAGGTATAAGAGGAGTGACTCTTCACAGCATGAACACGAGTTCTTGATTTTCCTACACTCTGCCCAACATGTTTCATCAGTGATGACGTCATCAGGGGCACAGGGGGCACACCCTGTTGTTGTCAGCACTGACAAATGTTGGGTGGAGTCTAGTAAACGTTGTCACAGGAAGGTACATTGTTGTTGATTAACCAATGTCTTTGCAAATTGAGACACTGGCAATGCTGCTTCTTTCCTTATGCCTTGCCCTTCAGATTGGAGATATTACCTTGTCTTCATGTTAGCATATTATCTCTATTTTTTGTGATATAATGAATGTTTTCTGCAGAAAGCACTTTGCATTTCCTTTTGTCTTTCTGAGCCTTTAGCGTGCATCCACACATCTGCCCCCCTTATACTTTACTGATGCCAATCTTGATCCAGAGATGTGCATGAGAGCAAAGGCTCTAATGGCTCTCTCCCTCCTCATTTGCTCAGAGACAGCAGTGGGAGCCATTGGCATCTGCTGCTGTCAATGAAGAGGGTGCAAGGAGCGGGGCCACGCCATGCTCAGTGTGTTTTATGGGCACACAGAGCTGGCTCAGCAGCTAGCCCACACGAATGCCCTGATACCAAGCTGCTTGCTATGGGGGCACACGTTAGGGAGAGGAGCCAGGAGACCCGAGAAGAGAAGGACCAGGGCTGCTCTGTGCGAAACCATTGCACAGAACATGTAAGTATGACATTTTTTAACCACTTCTCATCTGGCCCATGTACATAAATGGCCAGATGGGAGCAGTGCAGGGGCGGGTGGTCTTTTATAAATGTCCTCCCTGCTTCCCTGCTTGTGCGCACTCCCTAGGAGAGCGCAGGACCATGATCTGGTGCCAAAAAATTCATATGGGTACAGTGTTGCATGACCGCGCAATTGTCATTCAAAGTGTGATAGCACTGAAAGCTGAAAATTGGCCTGGACAGGAAGGGGATAAAAGTGTCTGGATTTGAAGTGGTTAAAAAGAAACTGTAAACCTTTAGGCTACGTTCACACTAGCATTGTGTACAGGCAGCAGAGAGGTGTTTGGGAAGCGTTTTTACCGCTTCCGAAACACCTCGGACAATTCTGCACATTGCAGCACATGGTGCTGTTCTAACGGGAGCGTTAGTGTCGCATCACGGCAAAACGGACGCCTCTGGTCAAGTCAGGAGGTGTTGAAGCCTCCTATTCTAGTCCATGGTGCCGCTCCGCAAACGCCCGGCCGGCGTTTGCAGCGCGGTTGCGGGGCATTTGCGGAGCGGTAACACCATTTAAACTTCATTATAGGCGTTTGTGGGGCATTTTCAACGCTCGACAAACGCCTAGCAAACGCCGCTAAACCGTGCATGCGGTGTTTGCGGAGCGTTAAAAAACGCTCCGCAAACGCCGGACCAATGCTTGCCAAACGCTATAGGGGCATTTGGCAAGCGTTGGTAAAACAGTCAAGTGTGAACGAGCCCTTACAGTCACCTTAAAGAATGTTTAAGCCTCGGACAATTCTGCACATTGCAGCACATGGTGCTGTTCTAACTGGAGCGTTAGCGTCGCGTCGCGGAAAAACGGATGCCTCTGGTCGAGTCAGGAGGTGTTGAAGCCTCCTATTCTAGTCCATGGTGCCGCTCCGCAAACGCCAAGCCGGCATTTGCAGCACGGTTGCGGGGCGTTTGCGGAGTGGTAACACCATTTAAACTTCATTATAGGCGTTTGTGGGGCGTTTTCAGCGCTCGGCAAACGCCTAGCAAACGCTGCTAAACCGCGCATGCGGCGTTTGTGGAGCGTTAAAAAAACGCTCCGCAAACGCCGGACCAACGCTTGCCAAACGCTATAGGGGCATTTGGCAAGCGTTGGTAAAACAGTCAAGTGTGAACGAGCCCTTACAGTCACCTTAAAGAATGTTTAAGCCTGATCATAGGATTTAAAAGGACACGCGCTTGAGGCCTATGCAGTGAGGGTCTACCTCCAAAAGGTGAAAAAGCGCTCAAAGGGGATGGTTAATGTTTCGCAGATAGATTGTACATCATCAGTTTATGCATCTGAATATCTGGAATCTGTCTTTTTTTTTATTGGGACTGGTTTATCATGAAATTTTGAATTTATGAATGTCACTTATCACTTTGGCACTGAAACACTGGAGTGGTTATGATTTGTATTTTTTCATAATCATTTCTAATGTAATAAATACACATTATTTTGAGATTTTTTTGACCTCTGAAGTTGGATTTGATGTTTATGGAAGGCAGCACTAATTATACATCATTCCGAGTAATAACATGATGGTTATCAGACTGTAACGTACTAATATAAAAATATGGATGCATTTAGAATTCTAGCCTGGAGGAGGGTCTGCTGAAAATATCATAAAAGCTTCAGCCCTCCTACATTACAACTCTGAGCCCTTTTGATTGGGTGGGAGCTGGCTCAATGACACCCTCCAGATCAATATATTGATCTGTACAAACACTATACTAATAATGGCAGTGATCAGTGACCTATAGTGTGAGTGCGATAGTGTGCAGGCAATCTAACGCTAGCTGGGAGGGGCACTAACTGACCCTGGCACTATCTGATGTTGTTATTGGATGTGGGCAGGTGGCAAGAAGTTAAAAAAAATAAATAAAAAATACATTTTCTTTTCAAAATTAATTTTTTTTAACATTATTGTCTTTTTACTATATTTTAAAATACTTTCATCAGAGTAGTTCAATGCAATAAAGATTGTTGCGCTAGCAATGCTTTGAACTGTCATCAATGGGTTAAGTTCATGACAGTTCAAATACTCGTGATCTGTGATTGGCTACAGCTAATCACATGGTACAGGGTGCTGTGATTGGCCCAGGTACCATGTGATACCATGTGAGCCAATCACAGTTCAGTAGTGTCAGAAGCAAAGCTGTTATAAATGAAATTCATTGACATTGTGATCATATGATCGCATAGCGATCACATGATCAACGGGTCCTGATTACCAGGATCTGCATTCGGCAGTGGATGACATAATGTCAGGGCTCCAGGGTGTGACCAGAGGTATGTGACTGATGCAGGGAAACGCAGGCTTCAGATATGTTATAAACAATATAATTTATTAACACTAACAATACAAACATAAACGCAGTGCAATACTAAAACATAACACAGTGCAAACAAACCAAACCAACCACCCACAGATGACAGTACATACAATGCAAGCGTCGGCAGGCAGGCCGGGTCAATATCAATCGGGCAGGTAGGTACAGGGGGAGCAAGTGGAGAATGGTCGGGGTCACAAGCCAGGTTCAGCAGGTAGCGGGCAGCGTGGTACAAAGGGTCAGGCAGAGGAGAATGGTCAGACAAGCCAGGGATCAGGAGCAGGAGAATAGTCAGACAAATCCAGGGATCAGAGCAGGGTCAGCAACGAAAGACAGGAACAGGAGCAGGAACAGGATACAGGGCCCAGGAGAAACACACACCAAGGCAGAGTCTGCAGGTCTGGGAGAGAGCACACCAGTAGGGCCCAGGAGTCACACCAAGGCAGAGTCTGCAGGTCTGGCCATCCCTTAAATACACCAGTATAATCAGTTCCAGGTGTTTGACTGGCTGCAAGGTTGAGTCTCTGATTGCTGGGAGCACCCACTGGCCAGCCCTGGTGCTGCAGCTCATAAGGCAGGTGAGTCCCACCATTGCTGGCCAGTCCATTCCTGACAGTACCCCCCCCCTCAAGGAGCGGCCTCAGGACGCTCCAAACAGTCCTAGCTGGGCAAAATGTTCCACCGCCCGGGTCTAGTAACTGGCGGGATATCAAAGACCGGCACACCGGGCAGCGGCACACCGGGCAGGGGCACACCGGGCTGGACTCCGGGCAGAGGCACACCGGGCTGGACTCCGGGCAGAGGCACACCGGGCTGGACTCCGGGCAGAGGCACACCGGGCTGGACTCCGGGCAGAGGCACACCGGGCTGGACTCCGGGCAGAGGCACATCGGATTACCAGGCGAAGCAGCAGGCACCGGGCCACCAGGCGGAGCAGCAGGCACCGGGCCACCAGGCGGGCAGCAGGCACCGGGCCACCAGGAGGGGCGACAGGCACCGGGCCCCCAGGCGGGGCGACAGGCACCAGGCCCCCAGGCGGGGGCGACAGGCACCGGGCCCCCAGGCGAAGCGGCGGGCGCCGGACCCCCAGGCGGAGCGACAGGTCTCGGCCCCCAGGCGGAGCGGCGGGCGCCGGACCCCCAGGCGGAGCGACAGGTCTCGGGCCCCCAGGCGGAGCGACAGGTCTCGGGCCCCCAGGCGGAGCGACAGGTCTCGGGCCCCCAGGCGGAGCGACAGGTCTCGGGCCCCCAGGCGGAGCGACAGGTCTCGGGCCCCCAGGCGGAGCGGCGGGCGCCGGACCCCCAGGCGGAGCGGCGGGCGCCGGACCCCCAGGCGGAGCGACAGGTCTCGGGCCCCCAGGCGGAGCGACAGGTCTCGGGACCCCCAGGCGGAGCGGCGGGCGCCGGACCCCCAGGCGGAGCGACAGGTCTCGGGCCCCCAGGCGGAGCGACAGGTCTTGGGCCCCCAGGCGGAGCGACAGGTCTCGGGCCCCCAGGCGGAGCGGCTGGCGCCGGACCCCCAGGCGGAGCGGCGGGCGCCAGACCCCCAGGCGGAGCGGCGGGCACCGAGTCACCAGGCACGACAGTGGGCTCCGAGTCAACTGGCATGACCGCTAGCACTGGGTCAGACATTGGATCGTCTGGCTGGACAGCGGGCATCGGGTCACCAGGCATCAGGTCATTTGGCTCGACAGCGGGCACCGCGGCATCTGGCAAGGCAGTGGGCTCCGAGTCAACTGGTATGACCGCGGGCACTGGGTCAAACATTGGATCGTCTGGCTGGACAGCGGGCATCGGGTCACCAGGCATCAGGCTCAACAGCGGGCACCGCGTCATCTGGCAAGACAGTGGGCACCAAGTCACCAGGCACGACAGTGGGCTCTGAGTCAATTGGCACGACAGCGGGCACCGGGTCATCAGGTACCGGATTGTCTGGCTCGACAGCGGGCATCGGGTCACCAGGTATGACAGCGGGCACTGGGTCACCAGGCATCAGGTCATTTGGCTTGCCAGCGGGCACCGCGTCATCTGGCAAGGCAGTGGGCACCGGGTCACCAGGCATTAGATCGTCTGGCTCGACAGCGGGCATCGGGTCACCAGGTATGACAGCGGGCACTGGGTCACCAGGCATCAGGTCATTTGGCTCGCCAGCGGGCACCGCGTCATCTGGCAAGGCAGTGGGCACCGAGTCACCAGGTACGACAGCGGGCTCTGAGTCAATTGGCACGACAGCGGGCACCGGATCAGGTACCGGATCATCTGGATCAACAGCGGGCATCGAGTCAACTGGCCTAATAGGATCATCAGGCTGGATCAGTTCATCATGCTGGGTAGAGGCATCAGGCTGAGTAGGGGCATCAGGCTGAGTAGGGGCATCAGGCTGAGTAGAGGCATCAGGCTGAGTAGAGGCATCAGGCTGAGTAGAGGCATCAGGCTGAGTAGAGGCATCAGGCTGCATCAGGCTGAAGAGGCATCAGGCTGAAGACAGGCATCAGGCTGAAGACAGGCATCAGGCTGAAGACAGGCATCAGGCTGAAGACAGGCATCAGGCTGGGTACAGGCATCAGGCTGGGTACAGGCATCAGGCTGGGTACAGGCATCAGGCTGGGTACAGGCATCAGGCTGAAGTGCGGGTGCCGAGGCACCAGGCTGAACCACGGAAGGCAGGTTCTCAGACGGCAGGCTCACCGGTTTGGATACTGGCAGGATGGTACTGGTTGGAAAGAATTTTCGCTTTTTTCTGGTTTTAACTACTGGAGCACTGCAAGTAAACGCAGGTCTGCAAACAAATGGAGCAGCTGGAGACAGAGAAGAGCTGGAGGATGGAACAGAGGAGGGAGCAGTTGCTACAGAGGGCTTTTTTACAGGGTTAAAGGCAGGATAGGTGCAGCGAGTGGGAACAGGGTACTGACATGTGGTAGATAGCAGGGCAGGAGGAGCTGTTGGGAATGCAGGAATAGAGCTTTGAGGAAATAGATTAGAAGCAGGACTGGGTCTTTGTAAGCTGACTGAGGCTGGGTGCAACAAATCTGTCCATGTCTGCAGTATGGGTTGAACAAAGCTGAGCTTACACAAAGCCTGTCTGACCAAAGACTGCACTGCGTTTATACAATCTCTTAGTATCTGTGGTGAACATGCAGCATAATGCTCCAAGAAGCAATCCACATCATCCTCTAATAACCACACCAGGGACTCTACCTGGTCGGCACTAAATGGCGGCAAAAATTCATCCCTGCATTCGGGGGTACCAGATGAAACCAACTCCGCACAAATCTGAATCAATGGCTGCACCTCAGAGAATTCTGTGCCCTGATCTACTAGAACATGAGCGAGCCGTATACATTCTAGCAGTTCATCCCGGGTATACTCCTTCAGAGTCTGATAAGCATACTCTCTGTCATCAAACACTAGCAGATATAAATACACAACCTCATCAAGATCCATCCTTCCCATCAACTAACCAAGATGGCTTCCCTGTGCAGCCACTTCTGGTCAGGATTGGCCTTGGTGTAATGTCAGGGCTCCAGGGTGTGACCAGAGGTGTGTGACTGACGCAAGGAAACGCAGGCTTCAGATATGTTATAAACAATATAATTTATTAACACTAACAATACAAACATAAACGCAGTGCAATACTAAAACATAACACAGTGCAAACAAACCAAACCAACTACCCACAGATGACAGTACATACAATGCAAGCGTCGTCAGGCAGGCCGGGTCAATATCAATCGGGCAGGTAGGTACAGGGGGAGCAAGCGGAGAATGGTCGGGGTCACAAGCCAGGTTCAGCAGGTAGCGGGCAGCGTGGTACAGAGGGTCAGGCAGAGGAGAATGGTCAGACAAGCCAGGGATCAGGAGCAGGAGAATGGTCAGACAAAGCCAGGGATCAGAGCAGGGTCAGCAGAGAATCAGACAGGAACAGGGAGCAGAAACAGGATACAGGGCCCAGGAGAAACACACACCAAGGCAGAGTCTGCAGGTCTGGCCATCCCTTAAATACACCAGTATAATCAGTTCCAGGTGTTTGACTGGCTGCAAGGTTGAGTCTCTGATTGCTGGGAGCACCCGCTGGCCAGCCCTGGTACTGCAGCTCATAAGGCAGGTGAGTCCCACCATTGCTGGCCAGTCCATTCCTGACACATAATCTCTATCATATAGATGGGATAAGGAAGGTAAGTGTCATATATCGTAGTGGGAGGGAAACCCACTACTATAAGATGTTTGTCTCCTGCCAAACAGGCTGAAGATCCAGTGTTATTATCCAGCTGCAGATAGTCATTTTAATGGTGGTAGCTTTAACCTACAGAACTCACAAAGTGGATAGCACTGTGATTATGAGGTTAAGAAAAGTAGGTGTAGAGAGAAAAAATGTTATACTTAAAAATAAACAAAAAAAAATGAATGCCCTTTTTCTTGCCAAAACAAAAATATATTAATTTAATTCTGAAATATGCTAATTCTTGTAAAAAATAAAACAAAAACTAGAGACTTCTTACTGGACATCGTTGATTGGCTCATTAGGAAGTTTCCAACAAATAAGATGCTGGGAATAGCATATTTCCTACAGGCTTCATTTTATTTGACCTCAAGCTCTATGCTGTGAGTAAACAAGTCAAGCAAACAGAGAAGCAGAAGAAGAGGATTCTAGTAATTCCCGATTATACTATAACTCTAGTTTTGCAGTTCATTTCTATAGAGCAGAAATGGGAATTTTATTTAGCAGTTACAGAAAATTGTGAATCGCTTTAGACTGAAAGGGAAAGGTGATTTTAATATGAATAATTTGCAAAATGGCTTGCAAGGCAATTGTATATATTATATTAAATTTTTACAAAACTGGAATTACACTTTAAATCATAATACTTTCCATGTGTTCCTTTATAAAGTAGAAATTAACATAAACAAGGTTAACAAGTAATTCACACATTTCCTGTAGAAAATACATATCCAGCTGCAGCTCATGCAGTGAGTACCAATCCTACTACTGATACTTTCATTGAAACAGTGTGAGATATTCAGCAATCAATAGTTTTTGGGTTTTTTGTTTTTCTTGTTTTTTTTTTTTTTTTATAATAAAGGTAAGCACTTTTAGTGCTGCTGTTTTGTTTATGTGTTCATGGGGAGTTGGGGAGCATTTTAATTTTCTGTATTGCATATTTCACTATTTGTTTTTTCTTTCTGTGAAAAAAAGATAATAAGGCTAACGGGGGGCCATTGTTACCACAAAAATAGGTCTTCGATATTTGAGAGGAGCTTCCGTACCCCTCAGCAGCAATTTTTACACAAAAGTTCTTTCATCTAAAAAAGGGAAGTTCCAAAGATCCTCCTTCTTCCCCTTCCATTGCCTGTTTTGAAAAATTTTCTTTTTTGTAGCAGATACCTATTTGTGACACCTCCGCTCTTTTTGCTATGCTAGCAATCTACTGGGACACGTCACACATCCCAGGAGGCAGCAGGTCCATTCAGAAAGTACAGCACGACTCACCTGCACAGTTGGTGACAGCTCTGTATTTCAAGTCTGGTAAGTTTGTGTTTATTAAAAGTCAGCATATGGAATGCACAGGTGTCCTGGGCATCTGCATGCAGGCAGTCCCATTCATGTCTACTGGGATGCAGCAGCTGTATGTATGCCTGTGTGGACATGATGTGCAGCACTGAGCTGCAGTTGGGGGTGTAGAGGTGAGCTGTGGACAGGGGTGAAGAAGTGAGCTTTGAATGGAAGTACTGAGGTGAGTTGTGGATGTGGGGGTGCTGAGATGAGCTGTGGATTGGGGATGAAGTAGTGAGCTTTGGACAGGGGATGCCGTGGTGAGCTGTGGATGGTGAGTGAAGAGGTGAGCTGTGAATGGTGAGTGAAGAGGTGAGCTGTGGAAAGGAAGTGCAGAGTTTAAATGTGGGCAGGGTGTGCAAAGGTCAGTTGTGAACTTGGTGCAGAAATTTGCTATAGATTGAGGGTGCACAGGTGAGCTGTGAATGGGAAGAAAGAAGTGAGCTGTGGACAGGGGGTGCAGAGCTGAGCTGTGGGTAGAGGGTGCAGAGAAGAGCTGTGGATGGTGAGTGAAGAGGTGAGCTGTGGAAAGGATGTGCAGAGTTGAGCTGTGGGCAGGGTGTGCAAAGGTCAGTTGTGAATCTGGTGCAGAAATTAACTATGGATGGAGGGTGCACATGTGAACTTTGGATGGTGAGTGAAGAGGTAAGCTGTAGGCAGGGGCGGGCTGACAACTCATGGGGCCCCCGGGCAATAGGGGATTATGGGGCCCCTGTGTCCTTGCCCAAACTCAAAAAAGCCTATGAAAAAGGTACCAGGGGAATCTCATGGGGCCCCCTACTGACCCCGGGCCCTCGGGCAGTGCCCGAGTTTCCAAATGGTCAGTCCAACCCTGGCTGTAGGTAGAGGGTGCAGAGGAGAGCTGTGGATGGTGAGTAAAGAGGTGAGCTGTCGAAAGAAGTGCAGAGTTGAACTGTGGACAGGGTGTGCAAAAGTCAGTTGTGAACTTGGTGCAGAAATTTGCTATGGATGGAGGGTGCAGAGGTGAGCTGTGAATGAGAGGAAAGAAGTGAGCTGCAGACAGAGGGTACAGAGGTGAGCTGTGGGTAGAGGGTGCAGAGGAGAGCTGTGGATGGCGAGTGAAGAGGTGACCTGTGCAAAGGAGGTGCAGAGTTGAGCTGTGGGCAGGGTGTGCAAAGGTGGGTTGTGAACTTGGTGCAGAAATTAGCTATGGATGGAGGGTGCACAGGTG